TGGTGGAATGCCGCCTGCAAAAGAAAAAACACAGGTACCTATTTTAGGCGCTGGCATTTTATGCTGACTCAAACAAAGCTTTTTGAACTGAGGCACAACGAGGAACATTAAACATGACATTTTACAAAAAAAAAGAAAGACATTATTTCACTGGATAAGCATTTTATACAAATAATAATATGCTATCAGTATCATGTTCAATAGCAATCCAACTAATTTAGAAACACTGTTCCTAGCGTCACTTGGCGTTTGTACAACGTATGTAAAAGGTCTAGGCTAGGTTATAATATGCTATTAAAATTGACCCAAAGGTATCACAAAAAACTACAACTCAAGGTATATTGGGTGATATCACCTCATCCAAATTTTCAGATCGATAGCAAAGAGGAGGTATGCTGAGAGGAGACCGACAGGGTGAATAAAATTAGAGAGAGATAGGCACCCTAATTTAAATTATCAATTTCCAGATGTTTTCTTCAAACAAATACAAAACATATACACTGATGCACAAAACTTAAACAGGAATCCGAACTGTGAACACCTTCTGAAGATGCCAACCCCTCGTGTTGGCGAAACGTCAAATAAAAATATTTTACGACGGCATAACTGCCCAAAAATCGGCCAAATAACATTGGATGATGGCCGCGAAAGCCTTTCGCATTTCAGGGAATTACTTAGCTGTACAAATTTACCATACAAGTAATTATTTATTTTTTATAATTCTCAAGAAATATAGTTATTATATTATATACATTCCAGGGGCGTCCAAACCGCGACCCGCTAGATTCATTTATAAATATATTAAAACGGCCAAAGTCAAATATGGGTATACATATACTTAATATTATATTAAGGCGACCGGTTCATGATGCATTTCTCATGTGGCCTGCAAGATCATTTGGGTTGGCCACCCACGATATATGCAATAATTTAGGACATTCCATAGTTGCATAGTTGCACTGCCACCGTTCATATAAACAAATATCTTTTGTGGCCATTGTATGAATTACACTGTATTAGGATTATATTCATAGATATATTTAATAAAAAAATTTTACGTTTTGTACTTGAGTAGAGTTTTGACTTACAGTCTAATCATATTAGCAAATTTCCCCAAAATAATAATTGTAAAGTTTGATTTTATTGATGCAAGTTGTTCAAGGGGGTACTTAAAATATCGACGCATAAAATAGGTACACTAATTTTTGTGGGAATACTTTTTATTCGACACAAATAATGAGAAAACGTTTTTTGGGTATCGATCGAAAGGGTTGGCAGAAACGAACTCTTCCCATAAGATTTTTAAGTATTTACGAGTCCTACAAAATGAGGCTTCACGTAAAAAGATCCGACTAATAGCAAAAAAATATGGCCGAAAACCTATGCAAAATGCAGGTTTTGGCACTTTGTAATGCGACGATAATTTCACGCAGACAGTTCAAATTCTTCAAATCCGTAGGTTTCTTACTGCTAAATAACTACAACAAAATTGGAGTAGTTGGTCAAGTAGTTGAGAATTTCTAATTGTACATCCCAAAACACCTATTTTTCGGCCTACTACTAGTTTATTGAGCAATTTATCTCAAAATACAAAATATTTTATATCATAATAGACTAGCTTACATTGCCGATATTAATCATAAACCATTCCGAAAGTTAAATGTTATTTTTATGCGAAAAACAAAGAGGTATGTTTTTTCCTACTAAACAAATTCAAACATTTCGTATTTGTGATTAATTGAACAGATGCGCTACAATATTCGAAAAACATATGTTATTATACACATTTTAATCACCTTTTGTTGCGAAGAAAGAAAATTTTCAAGACTTCTTCATACTCTTATGTATATACATATTTAAAGACATTTTTACACGGTCACAGCTGAGCCTTAAAGTTTATAAAAAAATTATTTCATACTTAGCCTAGTTAGTATGTAGCATGTGCTAAATAGGTACATTATTCATAAATGCATGACGATGTCCGAGAAGTAGGTCAAGAAATTCAGTTTCTTTACGAAGAGATAATTCCCTGGAGCGTTTTTCTAAAAGTATTAATATAATACGAAATATTTGAATTTGTTTACAAAAAAACGTAACTCTTTGTTTTTGGCATAAAAATAACATTTATCTTTCGGAATGGTTTTTGATTAATATCGGCAAGGTAAACTAGAGTATTTTGCTATAACATGTTCTTTGCTCAATAAACTAGTAGTAATGGCCGGAAAACAGGTGTTTTGGGATAAACAATTAGAAATTCTCAAAAACTAATTGATCAAACTACTCCAATTTTGTTGTGGTTATTAAGAAGTGTGAATCCTACGGATTTGATTAATTTCAAGCATCAGGAGAAATTTTTCTCTTGGCTATGGATGTTGTGATTGTCCGTAGGTGGTAAACTGTCGAACGCGGAGGTACCACCCGGCGGATCTCGTAGGCGGAGCCAGAATCTGTGCATGCTGCATGCACACGTGTTCCCTCGCCAGAGTCCGTGTGGCGTTCCCCGTTTCCCATGTATCCCCTATAGCCCCACGGTACCCAATGGGTGCTTAGGCCTTAGGCCTTCGTGGTTGTACCAAATCTTGCATTTTGCCTAGGTTATCGGCCATAACTTTTTGCTACTAGTCGGATCTTTTTACGTGTAGTCTCATTTTGTAGGTCTCGTAAATACCTAAAAATCTTATTTGAAGAGTGTTTTCATTCCTGCCAACACTTTCGATTGAATCCCAAAAACACGTTTTCTCATTCTATGTTGTCGAATAAAAAGTTTTCCCAAAAAAATTGGTGTAGCCATTTTATGCGTCCAATACCCCCTCGCACAACTTGCATCAATAAAACCAAACTTTACAATTATTTCGCAAGCCCGGGGTATTTTCGCCTAATATGAGTAGCCTATTACAGATCTTCAGTCAATTGGAGATTATTCGGATAGTGAAAGAGAAAAACACATAACAAAAGCTACCTCTTTCTCAAATTATTTTAACACGTTAACCGTGTTAAATAAAAATAAACAATACTAATAAACAAATTTAAGCGTCATTCATTGTCGCATGCTCCTAGCTCCACGAGATTTTGTCGTATGAAAATGTCGATTGGGAGATTCAAGAAAGCATTTTATAAGTTCCGTGCGACATTTTAGCTGTGTCGCATGCGATGTTTGCAAGGAAATCAATATTTGATTAACCCAAAAACGCGTATGCGTATTTTTTCGCCCTGTTCGGTTCTCTTGTCGAAAGCATGATTTTTTGTCCAGAAAGTTGACGAATCTACCCTGATTTTCTTTTTTTTTATTTTAGACAAGAAAAATACTTAGTTATACTAAGTTAAACATCTGCATATTTTTGCGTTAATCTCAGTTTTCTAGTTGAAATAATATTTCTTGACCGGAGAATTGCCAGAAATTGAAATAGCCGTATTTTTTCTGATTTCAATCTTTGAAATTTTCGGTAAAGAAAATGACACTTGGATACGATAAGAATCTGCCGAAGCTCTACTCGTATTAGCATAATTTTGACAACGGAACTGAAACGAAAGCAAACAATACGCATATACAGTGGGTTTTTGTGTTGCCTAAACGTCATGAGGTTTCAGTTATCAATGTTTGGCTCTGATGTGAAGAAAAATCTGCTTCAGAGATGGCATTACTGGAGCTCTAAGCTGTAAGTTGTATGTGTTGATGATAATTCCATTGGATTCTTGTCTCAATTACACTTACTTGAGATTCGAAGCTAGAAATTAGTTGCACATCCACTTTTTCTTATCCATTCTGGAAATTACATATGCAAATTTGCTGAATTTCAAAAATGAGCGAGATAAAAAATAATTATATTCACTATACACTGTCGAATTACAACTCATATATATGCTAACAGTAATTACACACAACGGTGTGATTTCCCGTAATTCTCCTCAAAGTTTTTCGTAATTTATAACTTTGAACATAACCTCTGTTCAGAAAGCACAACAAAAATAACTCGTCGGGAACAGCTAATAGCTATACTTCATTGGCAGCATATTCAGTTATGATTTTCTCACACAGCAAATATCAGTGATTTTATACATGCAGACCAACACACATGATCATCCAGATGCGATCTGGCTATTCAACCATCTTTCTTCTCAGAGATGAAAACTACATTCCACTCGGCTTCACAAAACATATGCAACCAACAATGCGTGTAGTTTAGTTGAGCCATTCCTCCATAGATGGATGCTCACAACGATCCTGGTGAGCAAACGTGGAATGACAGCACCTTAAAACCTCCTAGTCTGCAAGATGACATTTTATAGGTTTTTTTGACGTTTTATAGGTTTTTTTCATGATACCCGTGCGGTTTTGAAATCTATTTGAGCGTCCTTCTTGCTAATTTTTCCTGCCAGCAATAGTAAATCTGTTGACGTTCAGTAGCGTATCCAAACTATTTTTACCAAGTAGAGATTAAAATTTATATAATTTTTAGCTGACATGAAATGTATTCATGAGCATTAGCAGCCATATCAGATGGTTCTTTCTAATTGTATACGAAGACTGCCCTCTAACTATTTAATGCAGAATAACGCATGTTGGAGCCTATCAGTCTGTGAATTATGCAGCAGTACGAGGTCGCACATGTCTGGCACTTGACGATATACAGGTACTTTGAATGTCAATAATCACCTAATATTTGTTGTCACGTTCTTCCGTGTTGGAGTATTGTGGAAAATACCGCACAATAGGTTTCAAGTTAGCGATTTTTTCATTTCCAAAATATTCGATCCGATAATTTCGCTGACGTGATCTCACCCAATATACCTTAAGCTAGACAGATTAGACTTGCATACCTTTGGGGAAAATTGCTCATATCTGTAGTTTCGATTATAGCCTTTACAAAGAATGTCGAGAATAGGTATCCTGCACTAAAATTACGGCTTCGTAAATTGAAATCAATTTTGGTTTTGCAATAATTCACTTGGCGGCGTAGAGGATAAGGAATGCACTATAAAATTGTAAGAGTGTGACTTACTGTCTGCTGTACAGCTTGTTGCTTGTCTTCGACTTCAGCTTTTTTCGACATTTCGGCTAGATTGACCAACCATTTGTTAGGACAGGCACTCAGTATCACGGAATGATATTCATGGATCGTCTGTTTCAGATCTGTACCTTTTTGAGTAATATCGGAGTGAAGCTTTAATACCTATTATAAGTAATTTTGGTATTAGATTATCTGCCTTTTCATCGAGAAATCTTAAATATTTATTAGATAAATCAACCGCGCGTAGGAATAATTCCATGGGATAAGAAAAAAATCCAATCTACATAAATATATGATAGTAACATTACCACTTTTAGATGAACTATCAGAATTAAAATATAGACAAAAAAACAATGGTTATCTTTAAGCTTGAACTACAGAATTAACATTACTGTTCTTTCAAAAGATTTAACTTCTTACCTTGTCATATTTTGTTCTTAAAGTAGTGTCCTCCTGTGATAAGTTTTTGTATTCTCCTCCATTTTTTTCTGCAGTCTCCTTCATCTCCGTCAATCTAAATGAGATTACCATATTAATGTGATTCCGTGTGCTTCAAATTCGGCTTTCACTATTGGGATCTCGGAAACGGTAAGAGATACGAAGTCAGTTAAATGGGGTCGAAGTTGCGCATTTGGATAAATAAGAAATAGCCCTAGAAAATTTCGCATTTCAGATTATTTCCTGAGATAAGCGAAACAAAAAGGTAACTTTCCCAAAATGCAGTTTGCAGTCATTGAGGTGGTATTTCAAAACAGGTTGCACATTAGCATTATCACTTTTTCTCCTCTACATCATTTCTGACCTCGATCATTAACTTAACTTTTATTAATTTATAGACGCCATGTAAAAATGCATAATATGTTTTTGCCAAACCCTGGTTGTTTCAAAAATAAAAAAAAGTTATTTCATAGTAGGCATTGAAAACGACAACTTATTACATGTTTATTTGATTACATCACCCATTAATTTGTGAAGCGTGTTTAAAGGAATTCATCAAATCTGCTTATTTATCGAATACAACAAGCGAGTATTTTAGAACGATGGAGGCTTTCTGCATGACACCTCAGCAGTAGAATAATATCCATTATTTTAATTTAAGATGTGTGCATCGGTGTAGACATGACAGATATGAAATGTGTTTCTATCTTTCTATCAGTTTCTTAAAGTTATATATGAAAAAGTTAGCATTATCTTGGTATTTATTCGATAAGTTAAGACCAACTATAGGATGATAACTATTTTAGATATTGCAGTCTTATGATTCAATCCATGCAATAATATGTACATCACATCATTAGAATCGGAAATATGGACTGATTACATAATAATATGCCCAGTTCATAGAAACTGCAGAAATGTTTAGCTAATGATATTATGAAACACATGATAAGCGCCTATCTATATATATATATAGCCAGTCAGAGTTTTTGTAGTTTTATCAGGAAACTTTATTAATCACCTTTATCTTTTAGTCTTAAAATTTATTGTATTATGGAAAAATACATTGCATTGAATTGAATGGCATATTATACATCTTGAAACTAAAATTACAAGCACTATTCACGTATACAAAAATCCAACATGGCGTGTATAAAAAAATAAAGTTGATGATTGACGACAGGAGACGAAATGTTATACTGAAATTCTAATTGTACCACCTCGTAGAGAAGGAAAAGTGGCAATTTTAGTGTGCAAAATAGATGTGTTAGTGCATCTAGCTGCTAGCATTGGGGACTATGGCTCGCGGGTTCGAATCCCGACTTCGAAAGTTAGTTACAACCTGTGTACCGGAACTCTGCGATATAAGCCACGCCATCTACCGGACAGTGCCACTACCACACGACCATGAACCCTACCTAACTCGCAGGTTGAGGAGAAAAGTAGGCTGTCGCCATATACTGACAGGGGAGAAATTGAATTTTTGTTAAAACTTAGGCCTATTGTATTGTCACTTCTCGTATAGTAAAAAACTTTCGTAAAACGAAGCTAGTAACGTTTATTCTTATCAGTAGACCCTCTATGTGAGTGCTCTACAAACATTATCATCTTTTATTGTTGTCGTTATCGGTATCGTTTTTTTATACTCCAGCTACCACCAAGGCCTAAACACCCATGGGGTACCGTGTGGCTATAGGGTAATACATTCAGGGGAAAGGGGGGGAAGACGCCATACGGGCTCTAGCAAGGGAACCCTTGTGCATGCAGCATGCACACTAGCCCCGCCGGGTGGTACCTTAGCGTTCGACAGTCAGAGACGGTCTACCACCTACGGACAATCACAACATGCATAGCCAAGAGAAAAATTTCTCTTGGGACGGGATTTGAACCTTCGCAGCGCACGGCGACTGATAAGGAGACGAAGCGTCTACCACTGCGGCCGCCGCTGCTGCTTTTATTTTACACGAGGCATGTTTCCAGTCAATTAAACTGAGTGAGCACCCTGTACATAGCAAATACGCTTCAACCTGACGGTAGCGATACATTTTGACAGCTGTCACATATTTTGTCAGAAATAAATGTCAGTCAAATTAAAGTCTTTCTCTAAAACGGTTTTTTCAAAGAAAATAGACTTCACTCTAAAATAAGTCCATTAAAAACAGTCCCGGCTGCCCGTTACAATCATTTTCTCTAAAAGGGAGTGGCCTGGAAAATTTTGGGAAAATGGTAATACCCTCATAGATTTCGATGTGCTTTTTTGGAATGATGACTTTGCTAAGGTCGCCATATTGAAAAAATGGAACCCAAAAATAGTTTTTTCACATTAGCGCTATTCTGGCTTTTTCGGCAGTAAAATACCATATCACAAATCAAACTAGAGGCAACTCCTATAATTTATGTATGCAACACTTATTTGCATGATGATCTGCTAGGGTGTACGAACACGGCAACATTAAAATACGCAGTTGATTCGATGATTTGATACCTTTGCCTGTGATATTTTGAGAAATTATTAAAAACCATTGCTCTTATTAAACTAGATCACAGGCTACAATTTATGAATAGTTTCGGCAAACGGATGGCAAAAAGTTATTTCCAGAGCAGGAGATGCCCTTCCAAATTATATTATGACAATAGCCACAAATTAAATTGAAGGTAATGTTCGATCGAATATTTTCTATCAAACAATAAGTGCAATCGTACAGGAGCTGTTGACCAACAGCATCTGCATTACATCGTTACTGAAGTTCTGGTATGAGAGTTAAAGTGCCAAAATGGCCGCTCGGGATTTTAAATTTTTTTTTAATTAAATTTACAACGCAAATTACTATACAATTTTGATTATTACACGATGAAGAGTGATACGAGAATCACAGGAAAGCATGGATGACCTCTATTACTTCTACGTGTAACTTCTTCTGCGTTTTGACTCCTCCCCACCTAGCTTGTAAACAGTACAGGGATACTTTGTGTTTTCATAAGGTTTTCTTCTCTTTGCTTCTTTCTTAGGTATTTTTTCATTAGATTCTGGATTTTCTTCATCTATGTGTCTTAGGGTAGATCTTGTTTCTTCTGGCGTCGTTTTTTTCGAAATAAACTGAAGCAGGCCTGCCCAACATAATTTTGTACAGGCCCATGTTTAGTATTTTCGTAATATCGTTCACTTATTTAAAAAAGCCTCATTATTTTACTTAGGTAGGAACTCTTAAAATCCAATTAATGAAATGTCTGACACTTATCCAGTTTGCACAGTATATTTATGTTAGATGGTATTTTAGAAGTGGCTATGCGCAAAATACCTGTAAGATGGCTATCTAATAAAGATGATTTCTTTTTTGATTTGTTATATTTCATACGGGGAAACACCTGCTCGCAAATATATGTACTTCCAAATAAAGAATTGTTTTGAAGAGCTACTTTAGTAAGGTTTGGGTATTGGTTGGATGTAATATACTTTTTGTAAAATCCAATTAATTCGTTTGGAAGACAACCATTGTATGCCGTTTTTAGATGGAAACAACTTTGCAATTCAATTAATTCTAACTGTAGGTTCGGTTCTGCGTTTCCAATTTCAACCTCAAATGGGTTTTGGGACACTTTCATGCTGGGAATTTGCGATTTGAAGTCTACGAATCTCTCATCTAACTCATTCCTCAACCTTTGCAACAACAACACGTACTGTGCAAAGTCCAATGACTCTTGATTTCTTGCAGATAAGGTCTCCCAATGAACCAACTGCTTTTGTTCCAGCTACTTTTTCAACAATAAGTGCTTCTTCGTGAAAGCTTGAACATGTTCATATAACTGCGTGCATCCTTTGCAGTTTCAAGTTAAGATCAGAAAGATAGTTATATCAACTAGGAAAACCAGATCAGCCAACCACTGTTCATCAGTAAGGAACCTAATGTCTTGGCCTTTGTTTAATAACTATTTACTTCGTCGAGAAACGAATAGAATCGCTTCAGTGTGGCTGCTCCGCTGAGCCATCGAACGCGACTAAAGTACACGATGTCTTCATGATCTGAACCGATATCAGACACTCAGACAGGAAAGCCTGGAACTGCCTGTGAATAAGTCCTCTTGCACGAATAAAATTAACTGTCCACACTACCTTATCCACCACGTGTTTCAGTTCAAGTACTTTTGCACACAGTTCATATTGCTGAATAAAACAGTGAGGCAGTATGATTGTATGTGTGATGCTATTGCGCATTAAAGCCACAAATCCATTTTACCTTCCTGCCATTGCAGGTGCCCCGTCTGTTGTTGAGCAGCAAAGATTTTCCATTTGAAGCTCATATTTTTCTATAAAACTCTTTACTTCTCCGTAGATATCTTGTTCAGTGATTGAATCTTTCTTGGGCGCAAATCAAGTAATTCCTCGATAACGGTATAGTCTTCTTTCATTCCTCTCACGAAAACTGCCAACTGCGTCGTACACTTTTGTCGAATTTACAGGATCGGTCCGAATTTGACCCTTGTACCTATCGTATTTAGAAGCGTGCTTTGTAGAATAATGGTGTTTTATATTGTACTCCTTGCAAACTGAATTGTTTTCATGGCATATCAGGCACAGTATTTTTCCATTTTGTTCTGTGACAAAAAAGTCTCCAGCCCATCTGTTTTTAAATATTCGGCAATCTGCGTCAACTTTACGGTTCTTTTCTGATGATGACATGGTGTTCTGAAAAAACAAAATATTATTATGTAGTGTAGAGTACTTAACTTAAGCTTGAATTGAAAATAGGCAATTATAGGCGTGCACGTTGTATGTAATTTCGAACAATGTACATAAACTTACTTATAACCAAAGGAAAAACAATCATGCGAGTAATTGAACACAAATATTTTAGAGAACTAAATTATCTGCTTACCTTATTTCAAGACTTTTCGCTGCAAGAAATTTTATCCACTATTAATTTACAAAATAATATGTGCATAACATTATCTCGATCGAACAAGCGCATCAAAACAAGAACTTCGGCAATTTTGGCCGGCCGACTGGCTGAATCCTGGATTACTATAATGGTGGAGGTATGGTGGGGGGTGAGGACTGACAAGTCCCGATGAGCGAGGGTTTTGTGCGCGCGCAGTTCCTGTTGATGCGGGTATCCATTTGTAAGATATTCGGCTCATTGTAAGATGACAAGGTTGGATACGGAAGTATTTTTGAGTTTTTGATCAGAGTTGTAACTGGCTCGCGGGCCGGATAAAGGGCCTATGTGGGCCGGGTGGTGGCCCGGGTGCCGTATATTGGACAGGCCTGAACTAAAGGATTACTGCTACTACAACAAGCAGAGCTGCCAAAACTCCCATTTAGGGATGAATAGACGCTTATTCTTGCATTTGGGAAAATCCTGTTCTTTTGCATCTTCTTGATCTTGTTGAGGTCAAAAGCCTTAAACTAAGCGCCCAGACTTTTCTGGACGCAAAGCTCAATCAATCTTGTCTTCCAAAATTTCGTGCATCTAATAGGATTGCTTCTTGAGTACCATATAACTTGACTGCTGTGATCAGCTAATCAGCGTGAATGGCCAAAATGTATTTAGTTGCTATAACTTCAACAATAGGGTTGGATATTTGCAACTTCGTGAAATTGCATTTCGAAAATTCGACTTCCTTCAATAATCCATGTAGACAACCTTGAATGGGTTCTTGTCAATTTTTGCAAAGGTAGACATTTTCAATCTCTGGGCATTCTTCTTCTTCGAACTACTGATTTGTTAGAGCCAAAATGGATGAGTTGGAATGATGGTTGAATTTCTAATAGGAAGAAGGTATAATCGGAAAAAAAGGAAATTTTTCGTCAGATTTCCGTGCTTCCCAGTGATTGGTCTTGGCGCAGACAATGTTCCCCTTACATATCAGCGACCTCCTTTCTTGCAAGATGAATCCAATCCACAGATTTGCTGTTGTACAGCACTCTACATATAGGAATTCAGAGCGTCAAGCCGATCTCTGCCGGTCAGCTGGAAAAAAAAAGAGTAGCAGCGACTTCCTCTCTGACGAGAAAGAGACCTGGAGGTTATCACTGCTTGGGGACGCAACAAGCTTGTATAGTTTAATGCTTAAAAAATACAGTACTGTATCTTGACGAACAAAAAGAGTCTTAGCGCTCATCCAGCTTTGATGGATAGCCGCGTTCTGCCAAAGAACCGTTCATTTCGGCTGGTCCAGATCACCGTGGATTTGATCTGACACGAACACAGCTAGTCAACAGCAACAGCTGCTGGGAAAAAGCTAGGCTATATGTTTAGGGCTAAGAAGTACTTTTCTCCACATGACCTCCTCACTCTATACAAGGCCCAGATAAGACCGAGTATTGCTATGTTTGGGGTGCTGCCGCCCTGACTACATTATTTATGCTCGACGCTGTCCAGAGAAGGGCTGTCCGACTGATTGATGACTCTTCTCTAACAGACAGTATCGGGACTCTTTCGCATTCGCGGGCTGTCGACGACCTAGCAGAGCTCTCCTCAATGATGCCGCCGCGCGATGTACCTGCCAGACAGACCCGCCTGATTTCTGCCTCCCATCCTAGCCGTGTAGAACTTCGTACATCCAAAACTTGACGATATGACCGGGTGTTGAAATTATGGAACAATCTACAAGAGACAGCTTTTCCCAGTTCTACTAATCTTAGGCAGTTCAAAAATCGGATTAACAAAGTTTCTTTGGGATCCTCATAGCAGCCGCGGTGTCCTGGCATTTAGGCTTCTGCCTGCGCGGCTGATTCGGTGAAAAAAAAGATAATATAGAAAAAATTATAGAAAATATGATTTTGTCATCGGAAAACGTAATTTGTGGATTAACAACTATATAGCATAGTTTGGTATTTTTCTTTTATCATACAACTCTGCTAAATAATTTGTTTTTCTCTAAAATTAAAGCTGATACGATGAAAAAATATAAACTATTGAATTTTGAAAACATTATAGCATCTTCCAAATTGCCCAGAAATAAGATCAAATTTTGACAATTTAGATTAAGTTGCTGAAAAATCTTTTCAGTGTGAAGATAAGCTGTCAAGTTTCCTACAGTTGTCTGTTCATTGCTTTTGGAGATGATACAGTTTTTCTTCAATCTGTAACTGTACAAAATTTAATAACGAACTTGTAGAATTGTAATTATCTATTAGTTTGGGAGGTCTGAAGAGTTGCACAATGCACATAATTTTCGGTCATTTGTAAATCATTAACAGTATTATTAATTTTTATTCCATCATTTGAGTCCACAGTACCAAAAAGGAATGTTGAGGTTTTTCCAACAAGATTAATCAACCCTTGTTTTTGGCGAATGCCATCTACTTGTTTAGTCTCTAGCATCGGAAATGTATTTTGCAAATTTGTAATTATTTACAATTTTAAAAGTGTTAGCGAATAAAATAAAATTGTACAAAATAAACACTTATGTTTTATTTCAGCTTTGCATAATATTACTATGCATTTAAGTAACAAATCTAAATGAATTAGTTAAATATTAAACATATTTTTTCATAAAAAAATCAAACTAGGAAACATTACAAATACCCTAGAAATTACAAGTTTGAGATCTAAAATACAGGACTATTTGAATGAATACTTATAATATACATGGAGTCCCTAATAGTGTGGGTACACTTAATATCCTGAAGCTGGCAAAATCCCGGGTGTTATTGAGACACCCTTTTAAGAAGAGCTAAATATAAAACAAGATACACAAAGTTATTTTTTAACTAAAGCTAGAAAATACAAAACATTAAGCTACTACAGAAAATTTTTGTATTTATTAAAATATGTACTTTGTATTTTGTCATCACAAGGACTCAACAATTGTGATAGTAAATAATTCAAATAAAATAAATAATTACAAATTAATAAATAAGTACAGGGTCATCCAGACTAAACCGGGCATTTTTTTTGCTTTCCCAGTATATTTCAAGAAACTCAAAAAACCAATTGAGGAGGGGTAGGTAGGTATTTTAATTGATGACAAAAAAGAACTGCATTTTTGGCAAAAGACGAATGACGGTTTTTTAAATGTTGTCTATTTACGTATATATCTGTAAATATTCACTATTCAAAGGGTTATGAATTCACAATTTAAAAATATCTCAAACGACTGTTCTCAGTCTCTGCCAAAAGCCACAGAAGATGTCCTGTTTGGTCTTCGTTGGATTACCCCATATTGATCTTTCCAGGGAAGTTCTTTATTATTAATCAGGCTTAGATATGTTTGTCCCAACACTTGCACAATTCTAAGCATTTTTTAAAAATTTGCATTTTTATTGCATGCTGCTCTAAGCATTTTTCCTTCTGCGTCTGAACAAAGTCTAATTTCTCTGCAACTAATTGGGCAGGTTAGGGTATTTTTCGTCTTGTCTTTTTCTTTAGTACGAACTTCATGAACCTGACCTAGAAACAAAATATGGTAAGTATAATGGTAATAAATGACAATCAAAATAAGAAAGTAAAAAATATTCTATATGGCCCAAATATCTTAGTTTTACCTTGATTTTCAGGTTTCAGTTTAGTTCACACAGGAGTTCTCAAATATTTTGGGCAATATGTGTTCTTGGTTTTAGTTTTAGGTTCTCGAAAGTTTGACATATATTCTACAAAACAATGCGTATAAATAAATAATAATTATTTTTATGAAAACATGATAATTTAGACAAAAGTACATACCTGTAGTCATGCTTAAAATTTCAGAATCACTTCCACCAGCTTCTATATCTACTTGTGAAGCTTCTCTCATTTGATAATTATGGTCCATCTCTAGTACGTCTGAAAATGTGTTGCTTGCAGCAGTTTCTGTTTTCTGGGTCATTGTTTCAGTCAAATCAGTGTCGCAGTCATATGATACTTGAATATTACCCATGATGTTTTCCAACATCTGTTCTAGTTCAGTAGTTAGAGGTGGTATATACTGACCACCACCAGTCTTGCTGATCTCCATCTTTGCTTTTGAAAACGTGTGCTTCTGTCAGGTCATTTTCTTGTCACAAGTGACACCGAGATACTAAGCAGAATTTTCCCATGGTAGCTCTATTCGCTGAAACCTCAGGCGGGGCGCAGCTACGTTTTTTAGTACAACAGATAGCCTGCGTTTTCGAGTAATTAATTTTCATCAGCCACCAATCTGTCCATTCTAATACCTCATCCATCGCACTTTGTACCTTGTCGTGAACCAGATTCTCGTAACGCAACTGGGCCACCAGTGCAGTGTTATCAGCGTATAGAGAGACTTCACAGTCGCTAGGGCAAGGGACGTCATGCGTGAAAAGGGACTGGCCCGAGAACCAAACACACCACTGATCTCTTTTTTGCAATGGCACCTCCAATCCATAGATCATTTATAACTCTTAATACGATAAAGGGCCCAGTGCTAAGGATGGACGTTTCTGCCTTTTCTGGATAGAGCCAACCTAAGGTTGCTGGTGGGACTGTTGTCTGGCCATAACACGTTAAGGCGCCACCTGCACGTGATGAGGGTGGCTGAGGATCCCTTGTGTGAACGCTGCGGGGTAGAGGAAGAGACCTCGGCGCACGTTTTGTGACGCTGTGAAGCTCTGAGCTACTATAGGCAGACTATACTGGGGTCCATTACTTTGGACCCTCAGGACGTCAAGGAGCTTGGACTCAAGGCGATTCTCAACTTCGCTAAAAGGGCGAGGCTTGTGATCTAAGGAATCTAGGTGTGCATAAGGGCCCGCTTAAGCGGCCTATGCACTGGCCTTATGGTGGCCGGAATGCCTCTAATTTCAAGATTCATTCATTCATTCAATACGATAAAAACTTTGTTTTTCAACATATTGTGACAAGAATGAATAGTACCGTTTTCGCCATCTGATGGGGACCACGCCAGACTTTCCTACTCGCCAGAGCTTTATGGAAGCAGAGTAGAGTAGAGCAGAGTGGGTTATAGTTCAGTCAAAGGCGCGACATAAGAATTAGTCAGCCATAAATAGTGGTGTACATAAATGTTCTATCTAGTCAAGATAAACAAATTAGTGCATGTCTTTTTGTGGAATCCAGTGTTTTAATCCACACCCAAAGGAACCCAGAAAAACGCTACAATATATATTGTTGAATATGGACATGTGAAAATAAACCTTACTAGAAAACTAACTCTATAAACAATAACATTTTCTTTGCAGTGGTTGATGAAACAAGCATATGTCAATGAACATAATTTCATGGAAATTTAAAATATTTGATACAGTAGATGATGAAAATTTTAATACTCCTATGCATCGCTGTATGGTATTTCTGCTAAGGCAATGCATTTAGAATAATGTTCTTTTGCGGTGCCAGGTTCAGCATTTATAACAGGCATTAGGAGCGAGGCTCTTAATGGATGTCCAGAGGGATGTCCTGAGTCACCTGTAAAAATATATTATTACTCATCTTCAAGCAAGTATATAACAATAATTACAACTAAAGTCGACAAAATTAGAGTAAATGTTAGTGCCGAAGTCTATATGCTGCCTAAAATATGTGGAATATTAAATCTCGGATTTGTTGCTGTATTGTAAATCTTGCAGATATTTAATCTGAGCAATTGATCTTACGATTGATCAATATCGACTTATTACTTTTGTTAATAGGAAAGGACCCGGCAACACGCTTATGGGAAAAGTAGTTTCGGTTAATTTCGCTGGATTTTTTATATGTTGTGTGTCGCGAAGTCCTGAATAAATGGCTCGATGGGCACAGGCCCCAAAACTCAACGGGTTCCATGATATAGGACGTCCAAGTCGGTATAATCTATTGGTTATACTGGAACATATGCTTTAAGTGGAAAAGTGGTTTCGGTTAATTTCGCTGAATTTTTTATATGTTACGCGCCTTGGCATCCTTCAATGGTCACAGGCCCCCAACCTCAACGGATTCCAAAATATAGGCCGTCCAAGTCGGCCCTACTCAATGTCTGCTTCAAGTGGAAGAGTGGTTTCGGTCAATACCGCCGAATTACTAATATGTTATGTGTATTGGCGTTCTGAATAAATGCCTTGATGACCACATGCCGCAAGACATACCGGGTCCAAGATATAGGTCGTCTGGGTCAGTATAATGGAATAACCAGTTCAAGTGAAAGAGTGGTTTCGGTTAATTTTACCATGTTTTTCAATATGTTATGTGCCTCGGCATCCTAAGCAAATGCCTTAATATGAAAGGCCCCAAAACTCAACGGGTTCCATGATATAGGGTGTCCAAGTCGGAATAATCTATTGGTTATACTGGAATATATGTTTCAAGTGAAAGAATGGTTTCGATTAGTTTTGCTGAATCTTTGATATGTTATGCCCCTTGGCATCCAGAACAAATATTTCAATGGCCACAGGCCCCCAACCTCAACGGGTCCCAAGATATAGGCCGTCCAAGTCGACATAATGGAGTATCGGCCCTACTCAATATCTGATTTAAGTGGAAGAGTGGTTTAGGTCAATTTCGCTGAACTACTCATATGTTATGCCTTGTCGTCATGACTAAAAGCCTCAATAAGCACATGCCCCAAGACACAACGAGTCCCAAGATATAGGCCGTCTGAGTCAGTGTAATGGAGTAATCAGTCCTACTCGAATATCTGCTTCAAGTAAAAGACTGGTTTCGGTCAATTTTGCTGAATTACTCATATGTTATGTGTTTTGGTGTAATGAATAAATGTCTTAATGAGCACATGCCCCAAGGCACACCGGGTCCCAAGATAAAGGCCGTCTGAGTCAGTATAATGGAGTAATCAGTCCCACTCGAATATCTGCTTCAAGTGAAAGAGTGGTTTCGGCTAATTTTGCCTAGTTTTAATATGTTATGTACCTCTGCATCCGAAACAATACCCTTAATGGACAGAGGCCCCAAAACCCAACGGGTTCCATGATATAGAGCGTCTAAGTCGGTATAATCTATAATTTTTTATATGTTATGTGTCTCGGCATCCTGAACAAATGCCTTGATAGCCACAAGCCCCAAAATTTAGTGTCCCAAGTCGGTATAATGGGATGTCGGATTTACTCAGATATCTGCTCTATCTAGAAGAGTAGTTTCGGTTAATATAATATGAATAATTTTTGAAATTTCATGTAGCGCGTCATCCTGAGCAAATGTCTCAAAGATCACATATAATTGGAACCACATCCCTTTTCCATTGGGGTTGGAAGAATTAGACTCAATGAAGTTTAACAGCAGGTAGGCCGGCGCATCTGTTAACCGGCTACGACTCAGCAAGAGCAATGACCGTGACAGATCCTAGTGTATTTTTCTATATAAGCGAGACTGCTACATGCGCAGCCGCACACTGATCGAATACGTTGTTGTGAGATGACATTTTTAGGTTAGTCGTTACTTGTTGCAAATAGTTCATTACCAAGCACTGTACAAGCATTTTCTGTTTAGTTTTCTACTGCATTATATACTTTTTGTTGGTCGTTACTCATATTTCGTTTATCGTTAATCGTGTTTCGTTTTTGGTCTCTCGGTTTTCGTTTTCCATTTTCCGTTTTGATTTTTCGTACTGTTTTAATTTCGTTATTTTTAGCATAACGTGTAGAGTTTTAATTTTGAACTGTGCAGCTTGCATTTTATACTATAGCCGCAAGCATGGCGCAGCGCATGCCATGTTATATGTGTAATGAAGTTTTCGCTATTCGAACCATGCGACTTGTGAGAAAGTTCAGCAGTCCAAAAGCGGAGATTGCTATGAGGTACCGTGAGGAGCTGAACCACTCCGCTTTTGTGATAAGCGGCCCTGCAAAATCCCGAAAGTCTTAGGTTGAATGTCCTTAGTCAACAATCGTCTGAAGCTTTTATAATATGTAATCACCTGAGTATACATTTGCACCGGCTTAGTATTGAGACTGGAGTTGAAATATATTTGGTGAGTAACATTTACGTCCCTCAAGCATCTTGGATCTGTTCACAGCATCTCGATGAAAAAGAATTTCGTTTGAGGAACTTTTATTATATAGAAATCAGTAGATTTTTCACACGATTAAGGAAATCGGCTTTAAAAAATCGGGCGCACTATCTTGATCCTCATTATTTGACTGATGAAAATTGTACTTATCACAATTCGATATCAAAAGCTCAATTCAGTAATTTACATGAGTCTTGCATTCCTGTCGTTGGAGATAATAACTTTCGTGGTTACCACAAAATCTCGCCCTATATCTTGGGACCCATTGAGTTTTGGGGCCTCTGCCCATTAGGACATTTGTCCAGGACGCCGAGGCACATAAAGTATAAAAAATTCAGCGAAATTAACAGAAACCGCTCTTTAACTTGAAGCAGATATTCGATAGAACCGTAATCTCATTACTCATGACTTGGACGGCCTACATCTTAGGGCCAGTTTAGTTTTGGGGCCTATGCCCATTAATGAATTTATTCAGGACGTCGAGGCACATAAGATATTATGAAACACTCAGAGAAATTAACCGAAACCGCTTTTTCACTTACATTCGAGTTTAACCAATACATTAGATTGATTTGGACACCCTATATCTTGGGACCTGTTGAGTTTTGGGGCCTCTGTCCATTAAGGCATTTGTTCAGGATTCCGAGTCACATAACATACAAAAAATTCATCGGAATTAGCCGGAACCACTATTTTATTCAAAGCATATATTCCTGTTATATCTACCCAATAGATTATACCGACTTGGGCGTGTCCATTAAGGCATTTATTTAGGATGCCGAGGCACACAACATATAAAAAACTTGGCAAAATTAACCCAAACCATTCTTTCACTTGAAGCAGATATTCGAGAAGGACTAACGACTCCATTATACTGACGCAAGACACAACATATGAGTAATTCAGAGAAAATGACCGAAACCACTCTTCCATTTAAAGCAAATATTTGTGTAGAACCCCATTATACCAACTTGGACGCC